ATTACACGCCGTGCTGTTGTTGCAAGCGTGAAGTGCACGAAGCTGGTCTAGCCTAGCCTAGCCTAGCCCCGACAAGGGACGGCGCGCGGGAGCTTGCTGATTGGCTCTTCGGAGGCCCACTTTCTCCGCTGGCCACACTAATATTATACCTTCATATTAAGGTGAGGGGCCACAAAATATTGTACTGCGGGCCGCGAGTCTGAGACCCCTGCTTTAGTGCTTTAGATTTAGTACTTCCGGTTTTGAGTTTAGTGCAGTTTGAAGCCACTGCTGTGATTCTGCTCTACACTTGTGAAACTGAGTTTTAATCCTCAGGCTCGGTGACCACGTCCCCACCCTCTCTGTCTGGCTCTCCAGCCATCAGAGCCAACGATGCTGCACATTCAGGTAGACACTGTGACTGCTGTAGCTCTGCAGTGATACTCCAAGAATGAGCGCAGCTGGGAATGCTGAGTTGTAATTGGTTGTGAGGCTCAGTTGTTTTTTTTTTTTGTTTTTTTTGTTTGTTTGTTTTGTTCGGTCAGCACTTAGTTCTGCTCCTTATGAAGTATTAAGCCCAATCTCCAACCCTGCCCTTAATCCACTTACGTTTTTTGACGCATTCCCTGTGGCTCAAAATGTAGAGGCTGTCACAGAAAATGTTGTCATATCTGGTAAATACTTTCTGTGACTTCGGGTTGCTTAAAAACTGAAAACCAAGACAATTATTTGAAACCGTTCCAGCAAGAGTTTGTAAAATAAAAGATAAGTGAAATTGACTTACGTTTTGCCCTCTATGTGTATTTGCTAAAAAAAAAGGGAAAGATTTTAATAAATAGCACATTACAACATTTACATTTCTTTCATTCTCGTACTGCACTTTGACACGGTTATAGTTCAGAGTAGAACAGGCCGCTCTTACTCCATCTCCCCGATGATCAACAAAATGAAAACTCCACAGAACTTTACTTGAACACTGTACTTCCAAAATGACCCTGTGCCCAACAAGAGGGTCCCGCCCTCCACTTTAGGATCTATTGGCCTCTGTTAATGCCCAACTAGATGATCATTTAGTTGGATTAGGGTAGTTGGAGATTGAGCCTCGGTCAGAAGTTCATCACATGACATGAAACTAAGGAGCTAACATCTCTTACGTAAGTGATGCCCGACCACTCACTGAAACTGAAACTGCTCTTTCTCACGGTGATGGACGGAGCTTTCGCGTTTTTGTTTCACTTGTACCCGTTCGCCTATCATTTTCTGTGGCAGCAAGTTATGCTAACAGTTTAGCATAACTGTTACAGCTTTTTGGCTGTGTTTTATGTAAGCTTCTGTAGCACTAATAGATACAGCTGTGCAATGCAGAGGCTTTTTTTTTTTTTATTCCCTGAAAGACAGTTGGCAGATGAGCCCAGGTTGCTGTGCATGCGCCTTTACCTCCCCTCTGGCTATGTGCTTCTTGCTGTGCTTAGAAGAACTGTCTAATGGTTGATGTATTGGTTTCTGTGCGTGTATGTGTGTGTGTGTGCAGACATGACTTTGGGACTGTATGCTACTTCAAAATCCATTGCTGATAGTGATCTCAGCCCTTCATTCACACCTGAGATGAATACACCGTTGGAGAGGGCGGTAAAAAAAACAGGTAAAAACATGCCTTCAAAGTTTTTTTATACAATTACTTTTTACAGTAATTGTATAAAACATTATCCTTTCAGCCTGCCTTATAATATAATATAATACTCACTCTGTATAGCTCATCCATTTTTTTTCTGGTAAGTTTTTTTTTGGTGGAGGATTGGGGTAATTTTGGCGTGAAATTAGGCAAAATAAATGACCTGACCTGACACAACCTGACTTGAGTTGACTTGGTTGACCTGACATGACTTGATTTGATTTGACTTGATTGACTTGCCTTAACTTGACTGGATCTGACCTGACTTGACTCAACCTTATCTGATTGAGTTAACGTTGTTGATTTGATCTAGCCTTACCTGACTTGACCTGATTGACTTGTTCAGGTCCACCACCGTCCCCACACACTGCTCTCAGGGCGCTTAAAGCTGCCCACTGTTCACTTTGGTGGTAGGTTAAAAGCAGAGGTCACATTTGGTTGTGCGCTGTGTCACAATGACAAGAAGTTCACTTTCCTTCCTTTTTTTCTTTCCTTCCTTTAGACCTGATTTGGCTTGAGCTGACTTGATTTGACTTGAGTTGACTCGTTTGACTTGACCTGACCTGACTTGACTTGACTTGACCTGACTTGATTTGACTTGATCTGATGTGAGTTGACTCGTTTGACCTGACCTGACCTAACCTGACCTGACTTGATTGACTTGACTAGACCTGACTTGACTTGACTAGACCTGACCTGACTTGACTTGACTTGACCTGACTTGATTTGACTTGATCTGATGTGAGTTGACTCGTTTGACCTGACCTGACCTTACCTTACCTAACTTGACTTGACTTGACCTGACCTGACTTGACCTGACTCGATTTGACTTGATCTGACGTGAGTTGACTCGTTTGACCTGACCTGACTTGATTTAACTGGATTCGACTTGATTCGATTTCAGCTGACTTGACCGGCTAGACGTGACCTGACATGACTAACCCCGTTTGTTCTCTTTTACAGACGAGGAGTCAAAGCAGCAACAACAGGTGGAGAATCAGAACCAAGTTGCAGAGGTGGAGCACGAAGTGAATGAAACAGGTCCTGAGCTTTTAACCCCGGATCAGACAGTGTTACAGGAGGAGCAGGAAGTCATCAGCAAAGATGAGGATGTGCCGGATGTGGTTGACGTGTACGAGCGGAGTCCTCCAACCCCTCAGAAACAGGACACCAAGGTAACACTTTTTTTTTTCTACATCTTCATCTGTCTCTCCTCTCTTGTCTTTCCAACTGACCCTATGCTGACTTGGCTTTAGACCGAGATGACTGACACAGCTGTGGATGACGACCTGTCTGCTACTGAGGTGATGTGTCAGTTGGTCTTCACATCTGTAGGTGTTTGTCCGCAACCATGTCACACCCTAATTACGGGGTTTGTCTCTGTCACTGTCTTCCAATCTAACTAGGGTGAGGATTTAGAAAGTCAGGTAAGTCTGTCGCACCTTTCCACTTGTAGTCCCTGCCATTTGGTCTCTGTCAGGACTTTTCTTTCTGTCCTCCTTTATTTTACTTATTAATTGCCCCTCTTGTGTCTGCTAAATGTTGTTGTTGTCTCCATTTATTTTCCAAGTTTTTTTTTCCCCCCCTTGTTTCTCCTTAGTTCTCTCACATACCATTTACCTAATGGCCCCTTCACCTTCTCGTTTGCTCTAAACTTCCCCCTCAACTTTGTTTTTTTCAGACATTAGATATTAGTCCAGAGGACATCCAAATACCACAATCCATCAGTGCTCTGAGGCGAACCTTCTTGGAGGGGGGAGCAACGGAAGGAAGCGCAAGTATGACAGAGTGGGAGAGACGACTCGCCGCGTCGCCCCTACGACGTTTAGATGATCTGCCCATGATTGAACCTTTGGAAGACAATGAGGTGACAACAAAAAAAAATGTTTTGTGAAATGGTGTAGCTCTAAGTTGGTGCTCTTTCATGTTGACACAGGGTTGTGATCAGGGTTCCCACTTGTCCTGGTAAATTTGGAAATTAAGTGACCAATTTTTAATCAAACTTTTTCACACCATTTGAACCCTGCGGCTTAAACAATGATGCGGCTAATTTATGGATTTTTACGGACAAATGAAGTTTTTACCGCTAGCGATCAATGACTTTTCTGGTAGGCTACTGTGTGTTATATTAGTAGCGTATGTCTGTCTGTGATTGGCTGTGTGCGTATATGTACGTGGGGTACCTGTTTCTGTTTACCTCTGCTGTGGACAAGGACAAAGTGAAGGGAGTTAGCCCCAGAGCTAATGTTAGCTTCGGCCCTGGAGCAGATCACTAAGTCTCCCTTGTGCATTCCTATCCTTACTATGGTCAGGGCACCAAAGCAGGAAAGAGCAGAAAAAGCATTTATTTAATTAAAAGTGGAAAAAATTTTGTATAAATATCCCATGTTAAAACATGGACACCTTGGCGGTTTATAGAGATGTGCGGCCTATATATTATTTAATGAGCGTGGCTTATATTCAGGTGTTCTCAATAGTCCGGAAATGACGATACTATTATTATTTTTATAGGTATTTTAATTAATTTAATTTTGAAACCCTATTGCTGGCTCGATTTACACATAGAAACAAACACAGGGGTCAAGTAAGGCTACTCCCTTAGCATGGGTACCCGTAGCAGTGCTGATCAATGTACCAGTGAACTGACCAGTACTGGTACATTGGTTGACAAGTATCAAGACAATTTTTATTTTAGAATTTATCTAATGCAAAATGTATTTTTAATCATGTATTTGGAGTGTGAGGCTTGACCTAAATAAACATAAACATGTACTATATTTATCCCATATTTGGGAAATTGTCGTGTTAGCAGCAGATATGCTGTTAACAGGCTGCCCCTAGCAAGCTAGTTGATACCAGCACAAAAACAACCCCCGCTCCCTTAAACTCACAAACATTTATATTTAGCATAACAATGCATTAAGGGCAGACACTCCTGCGACTTATCTACAGTCCTAAGCGTTGCCTCGTTTTAAGTAAGAAATCAAATTAAGACGTAAACAGTTCACATGTTGCATTAAATAACTTCCATCATATTTGGGTATTTGAGGTAACACAACCTTTTTTTTCCTCTCTATTTCCATCTCAGGTAGTCACAGTAGTGAAGGAAACTCAGGTGTACCAAGCTCCCGCTGTGAGTGTTTTACAAGTCAATATAGTTGGCAATTTAAAAAAAAAAAAATCCTGCTTACACATACACTGTAAAACTGTGCATAGATATATCTATAAAACAATGAATTGATTATGATCAATGTGTTGTAGCCTGATCAAGCACAAGGTCTCCGGCTGAGCTTGCAGACGTTCTCTGTGATGACCAGCGACACCAGCACGACCACGAGCATTACCAAGGTAAAAGGTGGCAACGATGACACACGTCTTTGAGCTAATAGACAATTATCTTAAGCCTGACAACATTCATTCACAAAGATGTTTCCGATGACGTGACAATCTAATTTTTGTTTTCTCCTCAGACGGTGAAAGGAGGAATTTCAGAAATGAGGGTTGAGAAAAGAATCGTGATATCTGGAGACACGGACTTGGACCATGACCAGGTAAATTAAATTAATTTTTATCTTTAATTTTTTAAAAATATTTTCTGGCTGGTCTAATAATTTCTTGCATGCTTTACTCAAATTTATATTTAGAGACATCTAATTACGGTTATTTATGATCAATACATTAAACCAGTAAGAAATTGTGAAAGACTAGTAGTGGTGAAATCAATGCCTCCCACAATACAGCAGAGGTGAAGCAGATACATCCTACTATATATTATTTAAACCATATAAAATTATACATTATATATCAAACTCAGCCTCATGGGTTTAATGGTATATTACATATATACATGTATATGTATGTGTCAGTATATATGTGCAACACACACACACACACATATATATATATATATATATATATATATATATACATATACATATATATACATATACATATATATATACATATGTATATATATATATATATATATATACATATATATATATGTATATATATACATATATATGTGTTGCACATATATACTGACACATACATATACATGTATATATGTAATATACATATAATATACATACATATATATACATATATATATACATATATATGTATATATAAATATATATGTATATATATATATACATATATCTCTTGGTTGCACATATATATATAAATAAATATATATACTATATATATATGTGTGTGTGTATGTATGTATGTGCAACCAAGAGATATGCTGAGAACACAATATTCATACGACTTGTATATTAAATGTACCTTGAAGGTACGCCACTAATATATATGTCCATATATATTTACATATGTATATAAATCTAAATTGTATAGTTTCAGTTGATGTCATTAAATGACTACATTAGTATTGTCTGTGCTAACTGCTAATTATTGAATTATTGAATATTATTGAATTCCCCGGAAGAAACAAGCTAGAACCAAATTCCGGCCAAAGTTGGACATAGTACCTCTCTGCATCATGGCCAACAGTGTCCCGGGAAAAACCTCGAAAACAAATGTGCAAAAAAATGTGTTTTGTTTATTTTCACTGAACATCCTGTAGCGACCTGTTAGAGTGGTTCCATAGTGTAAGTTAGCACGCCTGCCTTGCAAGCAGTGAGCAGAGAGTCGTGGGTTTGATTCCCAAAGAAATATTCATTTTCGTAATGTGGCAGCCTGTGAGTTCCGACCATGCACTCAATGGCGCCTCCTGTGTCGCTTAAAAAGACTCTAAAAAAAAGGCTTTTCAAATATTGCACATCCTCAATGGGAAAGGTACATTCACTTTATTGGCTGAATTTGAAAACAACTTCTGATCAGCCAGGAATTTTATACCCCTGCAGTACTTTCACGGATCCACTAGGGGTCATTGCTCACTTTTGACTAAGATAGATATGTCATTACTAGCTGAAGTGCCACATGATTCCATGATTGATTCGACTTATCATCAGGTTAACCTTTTCACACAATGGACTCTTGAGCTGAATGCTGGTTGGCTGACGCTGTTTACATACATTGTTTTGATTAGGCTGGACACTGCTACCATGCTAATCTGCTCAGGTTATTTTAACCTAGCTAAGCCACTGTGGAAAATTAAAAGAATACTCTAACCAAATTTTTTTTTCTTCTTTTAGGGCCAAAACTTCAAACCTACTTCTTCCTGCGACATGTAGTCAAGACAACAGTGCCAAACACACCCACACTCTCACACCCAGAGCCACACGCACAACCTTCCTTTCTCTGCTCTGAGCTGTACGAGGTTTTGTTAGCACTGGCTGGATTAGCTCCTGATTAGCTTTGCTTCAAAACGTCATTTCACCTATATGATAAAGTTTAATGCGAAGAAATAAAACGAAATAAAGAATCATCTCTAGTTACCCATAATGCAACTTTAAAATGACCTCATCTTTTACGTTTGACTTTTGAGTCATTTCTTTGTGTCGGTTGATTTATTTGGTAAGAAACTCCCTCTAGTGCAGCGGTGTTTGTTTGATTCCTTCCTTCCTTCCTTCCTTATGACTTTTGTGATGATCTTGATTGTACATGTACAAATAAACGCTGTGCTTGGCCACCATTGGCTGGCCTTAATGTCTGTGCTGCAGGGAACTGTGGGCTCGGTAGTTGACTTGTGACTTTTGCGATGATCTTGATTGTACATGTACAAATACAAGAAGTTCACTTTCACTAAAGTTGTATAGGAACACAATGATGAAAAGGCTACTCAAATCCATAGACAAACACATATAAACAGTATCATACGGAGTATTGAAAGAAAAAAAATCATATATATAGATATATATATAGAAGATGCAACAGCTCGGATATTTTTAAATGCTACATTTTATTTCAACGTATATTCATGAAATTGAAAAAAAAACAAGTACAATTGTGCAAGAATTTTTGTTTAAAATTTTAAAAAACTTAATTGAAAAAATATTTTTAACAGTCAATTTTTAAATCAACTACTTGACATTTCAGGCAATCCCATGTGTGGTCGCGACCCCAAATTTTTTTTTTTTTTTTATAAGAAAATACTGTGGCTAAACAAGGATTTGGGTAGACAATACTTTTTGTTGTAGATGTTAGATCAGGTTAGATCAGTCCATCCATCCAGATCAGTATCATTAGAAAAAAAAGAAAAAACAATTCACATTCAATTACCTCTTCGATATGTACATGTTTATGTTGATTGGTCTGCAAGTTGTATCTATGTGGCCGGGCACGAGTATGGTGTGACACCTAACAGGAAGTGGGCAGAGCTCAGGTCCAGTGTGTTGCTCATGTGAGATCTGACGAGCTGCAGGTTCCTCAGACAACCCCTGAACCTGGAGCTGATGGACAGGCAGTTCTGTCTCACGTCCACTGTAAGAGATCAGGAAAAGTTAGAAGAGGTTGGCTGAACATGGACACAAATCGAGACGAGACGAGGGGTCGGGTCAGCTGAGGGCCTCACCTGGGAATCCGCCCAAATACACGGGGTTGTTGGTTTCAGCAGAGGTTGACTGTGGGTAAGGATTCGCTGTAGTATAACTTCGCCCATCCACGCTCAGGCTCAAGCTGTGTTTGGTTTTCCTGGCCTGCAAGACGTGCCACCTTCCGTCGCACAACAGCTGACCGTTGGAGCGAACCGACACCCGTCCGGCTCCATTGTTCACGTTAAACACCACCTAAAGAAAAAAAAAACAGCGTCAATGAGAACGTTGCAGCGGATTCGACTTGTGCACAGACACGGTAAAACTCTCACCTGTCCGTTGATCATCTCCAAGCCAATCGCATCCACCTTCGCACTGCTGATGCCCACAAATACCGCATCCAATTGGCTGCTTCGAAACTCCAGCGTTATCGTTAGGTCCGAGCCAACTTTGTATCCGTCGTGCACTGAGCGAACGAATACACATGTGCACATATTAGGATTTAGGTTATCGTACATACACACGTATTAGCCGATTGGCGTATAAACCGACCCCTGAAAACGGAGCCCAAAATGGTGATTTTTACAAAAATAAATATTAAGCCGACCATAAGGTTTTCATTTGTTGCCGTGGTAAAATCTTCTTCTACAAATCTTCATCTATCTTACTCCTGCTGTGTGCATTAACAAAGAATTAGAAAATGATCTTGGTCTTCTTTTTCTTTCGGCTTTGTCCCTTTTTTTTCAGGGGTTGCCACAGTGAATCATTGATTTCCATCTCTCCCTGTTCTCTGCATCTTCTCCTCTGACTCCAACTATCTGCATGTCCTCCCTCACTGCATCCATATATCTCCTCTTTGGTCTTCCTCTTTGTCTCCTACCTGGTAGCTCCATCTCTAACATTCTTCTACCAATGTATCCACTGTCCCTCCTCTGCACATGTCCAAACCATCTCAATCTGGCTTCTCTAGCTTTTTCTCCTAACCTTCTCCCTCTATCCATCCTTCTTTGACGTACACACAAAAACAGCATTCCTATTCCCTTTCCCTGCCTACACACTCCCAGACAGAAAAACAACAAGGAGAGGCCCAGTGGTGGTGACGTCATGTCGTGCAGTATCCTAGAGCCTTGAGCCCAGCTCCACCCACCTCTCCTCGTATTTGATCGTTTGTATAGAGCTTCACCAATTTCAATAGGTTTCCAATAATATCATAACACTGGCTGTGATGCATGCATGGGATGTCCATCATTTCCTCCTCAGAACCATCAACCAAAATATAAACATCTCCTTAGCTAATATAAAACAAATTAGTTTTTGTAGTAAGTAGTAGTTATTTTAAGTGGGCCTACATTACATATTTAAATACTGTAGTGGTTTTTTTTTTACCTAAATGACCTTATAATAGGTGTATCACTCAATGTACATGTGTATGCATACGTAGATGTAAAGGTGGTTTATTTAATAGTTTTTTTTTCCCTCAATGTATATATTTGCTCTCTCTAGACTTTATTTTGCTTTTTATGATCTAAAATGTTTTCAAGTAAGCCTAAATCTAAAATTATAATAGTTCAAAGCTAAATAGGACTAGCTTTTCGAATGCAGATAGTAATTTGAGGTTATTCAACTACTACCAACACATGACATACATCTGTACACCTTACAACAGCTTCCTGTTAAAGCAAACATCTGGCGCCTCGTGAACAAACGTTGCGTATGCACACACACGCACACAAAATAGAAAGATAGGTAGATCCCAAAGGGAGTTCCCTTCGGTAGATTTAGACTCCAGCAGCAATACAGCACCAAAACAACAGTATAAAACACACGAATAGATAATGTGTACGGAGCTCCAAAAAGGGATATGTGGGGAAAAAAAGAAAAGGAAACGTATCTCGTGCTCACGAGAAACCCTAGGTTAAGCACGTCATGTGTGACATATGTACTGTACATATGGTGAGCATTTAATTAATGTAGGGTACCTCAGTTAGACACAGGAGGGCACTGTTGTTGTTGTTATTAGACTGTTGATAACAGTGTGGGAGGTTCGTGAAGGGTAAATAAGTATATACGTAAATCATTAATAACTATCTCGACTCTACTTCGCGAATTTTCCCATTTCTTGGGTCTTGAAAAGCAACGACTGCGATAGGAGAGGCACCGGTGAATTTCGTGATAGTTTTCACGTAATAACGTGATGTCTGTAAAGCACACTGAGTTTGCTTTTTGCATGAAATGCGATCAATAAATAAAATTGAAATTAATGAAGAAATGATCAAAGTCCACCTGCGAGCCCAGAATATGGCTCGTTTACACGATTCAGTTGAATTGCACTTTATGCTTGGCTTGAGGCATGGTGAGATTTTACAGTTATTGTGCTCAGTGGATGAGATTTTTATCAGTATGCTACTTTCAGAAGGATGAGGATGATTTACGTATATACTGTACGTATTTACCCTTCACGAACCTCCCTACACTGTTATCAACAGTAGAACAACAACAACAACAGTGCCCTCCTGTGTCTATATGAGGTATCCTACATTAATTAAATGCTCACCATATATACAGTACATATGTCACACATAACATGCCGGTATCTTAGATTTCCCAACCGTACGTACTGTACATTTAATGTATTACCCTGTATGTATGTGTGGCAAAATGTCTTAGATATACCTTCTCATGCGCACGAGATACATTTCTCTTTTTTTTCCCCATGTCCCTTTAGGAGCTCCGTATATATGTGAGTATGTACGGTAAGTTAAAATGTAAAAAAAACAAAAAAAAACATTTGTGTTGCTATCTGGATGACTTACTGAGCACCGCGTAACCGCTGCCGTTGAAGTGACTTCCTGTTTGATCCCTGCTGAAACAGGAAGTGGTATCCTGCTTTGAGGCAGGCCTTGTCAGATCCAGCGTGGCTCCATTTAGGCTGACTGATCGAAGACAACCTGGTAGACTGCTACTGACCTGCAGGTCGGACAGACGGAAGAACGTTTGACTCTTGCACGAGTAAGAATTAAAAAGGTTCTTGAATATTGAAATCTTCATACATTGAGCCGCCGGCTGGTCAGTGTGTGAGGAAGGCCCCCAAGGTAGAGTCGGTCATCTACATCGAGTTGGTTTCCTTTGATTGTCACAGACTCAAGACCGAGACTGTCAACAGACAGGGACAACAGCCGTCGTCCAACCTCGGCGCTCACCTGACAGAGAGACAAACAGTCATCGATCGGCTTTGACCGCAACTATGATGTTAACATGTGTGCGTTTGTGTGTGATGTGATGTGCACGCACGTTGTGCCACTCGCCGTCATTTACGGCCACAGATGACGTGACCGAAGCGGGACCTCTGCCCAGGTCGGCTGACATCATCAGTTTTCCAGCCGTCAGTCGGATGACAACGAAATCCATGTGTTTGGAATCAGTGAGGGTCAGAATAGCCCCATTGCTTCCACGGCTTCGGACCGACAACCTGATGGAGACGCTAAGGAGGGAATAGCAGGACGACATGTGAGAAAACTGTTACTTCACTGAGCATAGCCTTCCCCCTTACCAGGACGTCCGATGCCACAGGAAGCTTACCTCTTCCTGACTGTGTTTGGGTCAATGATGAAGGTCATGTGACTATGTTTGGACAAAGCAAACTGAGCTGATGACAACAGGAAAGTAGGCTCGGTCTCCGACGTGCACTGCAAAATAGAGAGATAAAAACATTAGGAAGATGTTCAACACTTTTGGAGTAGTTATCAAACCCTTCCATTATGTCTTATAATGCCTGTGGTTTTATCGTTATTTAAAGATTAAATGGTATAATTGTCCATGGGTTCAATCTAGTAACAGAGAGGTGGGTGATTTAAAATACTGCACAGAAACGTGATAACAAAACATTATAATTGTATTTCAGTTTCTTTTTTCAGTTTGAAGGGTGTGTTTTTTTTAATACTACAAGCACTTTCTAGCATGAGAGTATGTTTTTCAAAATAAAAGCATTTGGAGAGCCAAATTTAGGAAACAGAAACAGGCAGACAAGATATGAATCTAACTAATACTTCCTATCATTTTATTTTGTCAGAAAGACAATTGTCTCACATCTTGCAGCTACACAGAACTAAAGGTTGGATAAATATCTACTTGCAATTCTCTGATTTCAGGTCAAAGGTCATCCTGACCCAAATTTCCTGTATCTCTTAGAAATATTTTTTTTGAAATCAATCCATTACCGTCATCGCTCCGGGAGTTAGAGCGCTCAGGTGAGTGGGCGTGGCGACTGACAGGTGTGCTGGGTCTGGATCTAGAGTTGGTTCTAAATCCTGGGTGTCAGGGAGCACCGCCCCCTCGCTCTCCTGCAGGAGGCAGCTGTCAAACTTCACTCCCTCGTACCTCACAGCTCCTGATAGGTCAATGAGTCTGGAAGAGGAAGAGAATACAGCTTCTGAGAGGATTTCATGTGTGGCATATGTGTCATATGTCGTATGTGTGTGTTTGTTGGCTTGTTCCTGTCGAAGCGGTGCAGCACATTTGTTTTTATAATTTTTATGATTCATCTTCTATGGCTCAAGTCTTTTTTTGGGGTGTAATTCTCAGCAGTTGCTGGGCAAAGTCAGTGACATCAGTCCATTGCTCTGTACC